CCTTAACCCCCCCCCCCTCCACACACACAAAATTCCAATTCTAGTCTTTGTTATCCTCCTTACAAACCAATTAACTAGTCAACGAGCCATCTGGCAAATTGACCACAGTACCTGTGACATATTACCTTCTCAGCGAGGTAAACATGATTATATGCTACAGTGATTTTCTTCTAATCTTATAAACCACACTCTACAAAACCATTGTTACTGTAAGGTTCACCGTGTACTGTTATTCATTTTATGTTCACGGTAGCAAAAGTTCACGGTCTGAAAAAATGGCCATGTTCACGGAACTATATATTCACGGTGGGGCCATGTGCAGAAAAAGAAAGTCCAGGAATTATTTGTTAACTGTAATAATAAGTTCACAGTACAGAAGTGACAGTGAAAACAGTGACATAACAGTACAGTGAAAAATCAGTAATGCTGACAGGAGACAAGTCTTCAAGGAATATTGGAGGAAATTGGCGCCAAGGGTTAAAAAAGAGGATTTATTCAGTACATGTAAGGAAGTAGACGTTGCCAGAACCTTACTGACCTCCCTAAAACTTCCTTGCCAAAATATCTGTGCAAAGTCAAAGTTCTCTACGTTTCCGTATTTTGTCTACCACGCACATGTGATCCTATGTGGTTTTACTTTAAATGTTGTTAGTTTCTCATGTTAAAAGATAAGAAAATAACCATAGGGTTCTGTCATAATCTAATAATAATATTAACTGTTCGCACTAAAAATAAAACTATATGTCCTTGATATTTTCTTCTTCTTCTGCTTTCCATTTGTTATCTTTCTTTGCTTTTGTGGCTTCCTTTTGAACTACAGCTTTCGGTATCCTGCATTGAAAAATGGATATTGAAACTCGTTTCAGTCAGTATTTGTAGCTTGCAGATAGCATTTTGACTTGCTGAAATATTGATCAAACCTTCTACTAATACTGACTTTACCAAGATGAAAGGGACTAGATGTCAACCTAGGTCTAAACTGACAACCAAGAGACGAGCTATTTTTAGCCACCGTTTGTAGTTTACCGTTGACGTGTTTGCTGGATTGCGCAACGCCCTTAAGGGTGCCTTAAGGGGGAAGTTGGCACAACGTAAAGACCTTTCTGGTATATTTGTGTCAGTATGACTCACTCGGGGGCTACCGGTATACGTGAAGTCTGGCACGTAGGCCATTTCCGCTTCAACCAATCACCGCGAAGGACGTTCCCGCGGTTTTCTTGGGAAGCGGTGACGTCAGCATGACGTGACCCGATTTCTGGGACTTGGCGAATCGCTTAGCTCAAAAGCTGCGTCTAAGAAACCTTCAAGACGGCGCCTTGCCAAGTTGTTTCTTGTTAACCTTAAGATGTCACTTGACACTAGAATAGAAGATTTCTCCCCAGTGTTCTCGAATTGTGTTAAGGTTCAATGTTAAGTCAATACTTTTCAACCTAAAGCTCAAATTAAACCTACATTAGGCTATTAAATTTGACAGCTTTGAATTTTAAGGTAGCAAATCGAATCTAGAATAAAGGTGACACCTCAAAATATAATCTATAGACCTTTCCAGAAATTGCAAGAAAAAAAAATACTATTAACTAAATTAAAGGGATGTATAAATAGATTACACGTTTTACACATTTGTAAACTGGAATGGACCGGTTGGTAGTAAGAAGTCACATGACGTGGAGACATGCCAGACTGATTGTGAGTGTCGTCAGTTGTCTGTAGCAACCATGCCAAATATGGGCATGCGATCCCGTCAGGCCTTGAACTGGGGGTGTGTCTCACGTAGGCAGTTGTAAAGGTTATTCCACTTGGAAAAGGCAAAAAGGTGGGTTTAAATACATACAAATTCACAAAAGAGGATAGATTGGTCAATGATAACTAAAATCGTATGTAAATCATGATAGAATTACTTTAAAAATTGTAGTTTTTGTAAACGTAGTTGATTACCGGGAAAATTAAGAAAAAGCTGGAAGCATAAATTTGACCTTCAGTGCATTCGTACCCCGTGCCAAAATGAGACGGTCCGTTTCGGTGTGTTGTAGTACGTTTTGTAGTAACTTCCGTCATAAGGAGCCCACGTGGGCCTACTCACCCGCTGACGTAAAACACCGGCTAGAAAAACGTTTGAAACCGGTATAAATACGCCCGGTACACGCCTGTTCCGGCACAACTCAAGAGATATCTACAACTCTTCACCGACTCAAGAAGTTTTTCTTAGCCATGAGAGTCAGCCGTGTTCTACTCCAACAAGCCGCCAAGATGTACCTTGGTGGTCCCGACAGTTTCTTCAAGTATGCCGGCAGCTCTATCCTAAAAGACCCCTCGGTAAGAATATTTTTTCTTTCTTACGAGTTTTCTTTTTTAATTTTTCTGACAGGTATAACGGTTTACCGTAAGAAGCATGCGACTAACGCCTCGCTACTTTACTCGGACCCCGTTCTACAAGTTTTTTCTCGGCTCCCTGAAAACAGGGAAAGAGGTAAGTGTGTAGATCTAGATATGCACGTATCCGGATGAAATTGCTTCCTCCCGATTCCATTGTCCAGTTTTGAATCATTTTGGTCTTGCATTTTTTTTTTGTTCTGAATGGTTGTAGGTTAATCCCGGTGTACAGGGCAGTTGTAAAGGCTTTACTAAATACGTACTGTACTTGAGTAACTGCTTTTTGGCGTACTGTACGGGTTTCGCTGAAACCCCGAGTCAGAATCCTTTGTTTGAACTGTAACGATTTGTCAGGGTCACGACCAATACGTGGACAGGATTCTAAACCGTTACTCCTTTAAAAAAAGAGACGCAGCCAAACTCTACTTAAACACTACTTTGACACTTTGAAGAGCATTTTTTATGGAACGGTTGTTGTTGTATTTGTTTCCCGGTTTGCCGGTTTACATTGTGTGTAAAAAGGAAATGACGACCACGTAGTACGCGTATACAGGAATTATGGTCATTGCTTGAATACAAAACCTTTACAATGAACAGCTATTCTACTTTTAAACTTGAAAGTGGAAAAATAATTTTTTGGTCAACGTTTAACGAGTCTCTTAAGATTTACAGATGTATTAGGATATTTTTGAGGACAATTTTCTTGCCCCTAGAATTCTGGTGTGAAAGAGTACGCCATTGTTCGATCGTGTGGCCTTCCCTGTAATGTACAACTGAGCAAACATTTACTTTGAAACTAGAAAGCAGGACTTTTAAAACAGCATCGACAAATTATTATCGCCCAACCGTAAAAAGAAGTTTTTGCTTAAATTTCCATCGATAAAATTTCGGAGAAAATCGTCCGCCGGGGTGTAGAGGTCAGACTATAGGACTGGTGTTCCATTGTTCGTGTAACGTTAGCTCGCGTGACATGTGCTTGTACTGAGAACAGAATTTCCGCTAGCTCAAGTTCTATTCGCGGAATTTTCCGTGACGTCCTGTTTTGGCTGGACAGGAAGTCTATGAGGAAGTTCAAGTTTATTTTTTTTTATCCTAGCCTCCTCCAGGCTTCTTTTAAGTCCCCGGTAAAAGATATCAGAAACACGCGAAAACTGTGAATGGTCTGTGAGTAAGTTTTCCAGGATGCCAGCTGCAGACCCATTTTGGTACGCTAGGCCTAGAGTTAGAGCAAGCGTGCGACCAGGCCCTAATTGAGGGGGGCTGTGGTATAATTTCATCGGGGGCATGTTGGCCCTGGAGCCGAGGAACTGGCCTGTGTAGGCCCTGGAAACAGTCTGGCACCCAGGCTAGCTGAGGGGCGCTGTGGTATAATTTCCTTGGGGTAATGTTGGCCCTGGAGCCGAGGAACTGGCCTATGCAGGCCCTGAAAATAGTCTGGCTCCCAGGCAAGGAGGAAGTCGGTCAAACAATGCGCCATTTCTCTCATGCCGGCCGGCGATGCCGGGTGGGACACAAGTTGGTCACGTACGCACACGGCCAGTGCGCAGGCGTATCTCACGGTGGATGACGTAGACACGGCAGCCTCTGCGCACGCGTGTCCTCAGATCTAGGTCTGAATTTATTAGTGCAGTGCAAATTTTGATCAACATTATTGATATTTTTCATCAATTAGAAAAATCGAAAAAAATACGCTGCGTCATAACTTCGCACCTGTCATAAGGCCTACGTGACTACCGTTCGCCCCACCCATATAATTATCGCGCTTCGTGCAGTTTTTAAAATCCGCATATAACAAGCTTAGCTTGTGCCAGGTGTCCAACGTTAAATACCCTTTTTAGAAAGTGTAAATGTGTATAAATCCACGGCTGTGGTTTAGCCTCCACCAGGCCTTTCTACGGGAATACGGATCGTAGAATTCGGCAAAGAGAGTAAAATTGGCCAAGGGAGTCCGGCCGCGGGGAGGTACTAGTAGTTTCGTTCCCTCCAGGGCCAGTCAAACCTACAAGGCGGCCAAACTCCCCTGGCAAATTCTCCTATATATAGCCAGCGTACATTGTAGTTAGTCTGGTAGAGACTAGATGTGGTTCACTTCATTGGTTTTTGGCACACAAAGGCTTGTCCCGGTAAACAGGCCGAAAACGGCCGTAAAAAAAGATTTATATCTTTACAGTTGATTCATTCTTGTTCTAAAATAGAACACAGCATCGTGATGGTTCCTCCCAACACCAATTATTTCAACTGAACGGCTGATTTGATAAAATGGCGCTACTTCAAAAACGGTTAGGCCCTTTCTAAAGGAACAAAATTAAATGTTTTTTTCGCCCGATTTCAAGATATGACAAATGTAGAATAATTTAAAAATTTGTGAAGATATTTCACTCTCAATCCGATGAATAGAATGAGTGGAGATCCGGAATTAGTATAAACTGCCGAATTTCAATAATAAAATTTTTGAGTGGTTAAGAAAAATTTATAGTTCAAATGTTAGGCGATTGCAAATCAGAGCCAAATGAACTGGCATTATATCAGAAAGAGTACTCGATCAAGGGTACAGTGTGACTACTTTGTGTTTTGGACATAAGCCATATACAAACCCAATTTCGACACATTTGGCAGTGGCCCACTTCGTGATGACTCTATCTCAACCTAATATAAAGCTCCGCCCACAAGTAATGAGCTTTGTTCTGCACCATTTGAGTTATCATTAGTCAGAGCACTCTAGTGTGACCATCTTGGGCACAAGCCACAAACGTATTATCCTACGTAGCAGGCTTATAGAACTGGGGATTTGGTGGTCTTCGGCTGTTTTCTGATTAGCCCAGTTCTAAAGACGGGGGTAATTCAACCAGGCCGGCTATGTTGTCTATATGCAATCAGAAAATAGCACATAAAAGCTCCCAAAGACCCTGAAGACCCCCAGTTTTTGGCATGCTATGGAGGCTACAATTGTAGTTGGCATCCCCCTAGTGTAGTGCTAACCCCGGCATAGTTGTACGGTGACCTCTACTGAAACTCCGCCCACCCCATGTGCCATCCTTGTTGACCGAGTTGACCTTGACTCGCCCTACAACTCGTAAAACAACACACGAATCCTTTAAGTCGCTGCCATATTTGTCTTCAAGTTCCTAGCATTCTTGAGGGGTAAATCGTTTCTTCAGCCTAGCGCCTAGGCAAGGGCACCGGAATTGTACCCTATACAACCAACGCATAGCTTTGGGGAAGTTGTTTTCTGGAGTTAAATCTGCGTGTTTGCAATACCTCAAATATTTTTGGCTAAAAGCTTACTCTAGGTAGAAAATCGCCGTGCCTAGATACCGTTACCCTGACATTCTAATCCTCCAATATTTCCTCAGTACTGTTAAACATATGTTTTAACATGCGTACTCTAAAAATACCCTTGAAACTTTATATTTTTGCCATGCATATCGTATCATATGTCGAAGAGATTGATCGATTATTAGTAACGTTAATAACATATTTTTGCCACTTGAAATATTTTTCCAGTACCTAGAAATGTACCTATATACAGAGCTGTGCTACTGGCACGAGTTGCAATAGATTATTAGACTTTTAGAGTGTCAAATATTTTTGTTCTTGTCTTTAATTACATATTTTTCCACTTAAAATATGTTTGCCGGCACTTACGAAATGTTACCTGTATACAGAGCTGTGCTAGTATCATGAGTTGTTGTGGATTGTTAGAAGTTAGAGTCTCATGTGTTTTTGTTGTTGTTGCCGTTGCTAGGTGTGGCCCTTGGTTACCATCGTGACTGGTGTAGGGTGTATGGCGGTGAGCGCTCTAACCTACACAGCCATCGCAAAGTCGGACGTCGTGTGAGTATTTCTTTACATAGTTTCACTTTTAGACATATCTTGAAGAAAAACATATCGTTATCAATTGAATTTTGTCATTTGTGTGTAGGTAGCCCTGTGATGCCCAGTACTTATCCTGTGTTGTGTATTTCTTCACAGTTTCGACAAGAAGACACAGCCATGGCTCAAAGTGCCTTTGGATAGACCTACACAGAAGGTGTGTGGACTTTTATGATTAAACAGAATATCCGTATTCTTCTATTCATATATTTGTCTCTATAGATTTGAACAATTATATATATTTCTCGGTGTTCGTCTCAGGAACTTTCTTAATGAATTCATTTGAAATTTCAGAGTGGAAGTACATTTGTACTGTAGCCTTTATATGAATGGAAGTAATTCCAGGAGTTGCCCTGTATTTTGCTAAGTTTTGTTTCTTCAAATTGTTTTTATTACTTAGTAGTAACCCCAAATCGTATTTTTTTCTCCAGTTGGTCACAATCAACCAGACCTACAAGGACATCCCACAGCTCAAGGTCATGAGCGAGATCCGCGAGATGGAGAAGCAATAACCCATCTTCACTTCTGCTACAAACCGCAAGGTGGCGCATGTGAATGGCAGCTGACCGAAGCGACCAGTGTTTTAATGGGGCCACGCTGCTATTATAGTTATAGCTGGCTATAAGTACGTGTTATCATGTCCTTACCTCAAGGAACAAAATACATGATACAGGGATTGTAAGATCACAGAGTTTAGAGGACCAAAATCTTTTTCCCGGGAAAAAATCTTAAGCTTACTGATCAGAAAAAAAACATAGATTGTGAAAAATTAGTTCCGTCCACACATATATCCATTGCACGTGTTGCTATATATTGAGGCGAGAGAAGCAGTGTGTTGCAGCCTTATCTATGTATGCAAGATCTGAGTATTGTAAACGGAAAAAAAGTTCTGAATCTGAGTGCTACAATGTGAGGCTGTGTACCTGACTATTATAAAGGGAAGTTCTGAATCGGAGTGTTACAATGTGAAGATGTGCCTAGTGGCACCATAATGTTGCGATAGTTCTGACCAATCAGGGACCGTTTTGTATAGCATCACTTTGATTGTAGCAATAATTGTGAACTTTGGAACTAATTTATTGTCACTGAAAATATCTATGACACGTGCACAATACTTATGATGTTGTTGTTGCAAGTGTCGAATGTCAGGGACACGAAATAGCAGCTATGAATTATGAAAAAATAACTTATTAATTGAGCACGTATTTGACACAATATTCAGGTGAATAGTTACGAATCTGATGTGTATTATTCTATCTTGTCTGTCAATGAAAAAAATAATAAACAAATAATAGAGTATTTATGGTGAGCTCTCTATGCTGCTGAGCAATATCCTGTATATGTGAATTTGATTCACAATAAATCTATTGTTTGAAGAAATGAACTTCTTTATTCATTTTTTGTGAAGCAAATCGTAAAGACAGTGACAGTTTATTTATGGCGGACTATATCCCAGTCAAATACAACCAGTGCATTTAGCTAAAGACATTGATACTTAAAACAGTAACCAGAAAAGTTCCATATGACCATCTATATGGATCTGAAGTCATAGAATAAAATCTTTACACAACTCCCAGCGACAACATATTGGCATAGAAACGATTTAACAAAATTTATTGTAATTTACTCCTGAACTTAAAAAAAAACCCTACCCAGAAGACACATTCAGCTAAGAGCATTTTAGAGCCAATGCCCTAATGTGGTCACGGTACGCGTACCCAGTCCAACTAAACTGGTTAAAACCAAAGATAAACAAACACCCTAGAGGCCATCTTAATGCTTACATTACCCTAGAAGCTGTTTTAAAACCGTCTCTATGGTGACATGCCATACGTCTTATGTATTCTGAAGTCTTTCCTTTACACTTCGCCTATACTATAGCAGCTAGAGAATAAGAGAAATCATTTTGAAGTTCACTTAAGGTAGCCAGGATCCGGAGATAAAAGTCCTTTCTTTTCGGCCGAAAGTCATTTACACGCTACATCTAACTTCACGACTTGCCCTTTAGAAAACTCTTGTGTTTCTATTAGTAGTTGTGCAATGGTATTCTGTACCGTTACTCATAGATACCGTATACATTAAGCGTTACTATTAAACTCCTGACCAAAACGGAAGAACTCTGGTCGAAACCAAATTCACGATGAGTCTAAGTCATGGGATAACGTTACGTGTGGAAAGGCACGTAGACTCTATAACGTAACGACCAATCACCGAGCGCGTACTATACTGCAATGTTATACCCTGCTTTCTCAACGATTTAATTTTGGCGCCTTTAAGACGCATTCCTGTGGCTAAGAAGCTTCGATAAAGATTGAATTAAGAATTTGCTCCTTTTGTACCCTCATTGTCTTACGTAACAAAGTAAAGATGACTTACTTTCATACGTTTGTATCTTAGAAGAACATATTTAGACTAATATAATTAATTGTAAGTAGCACCGAAATCGCTCGTAACCAAATAAAGAGACAACATTCCTTGAACTCTTTTGAATAACGAGCGCACGTAGACAACCGTTAGGATAGTTCCACTTCGAAAACTAAGGGGTGTATTATTTTTATCAAATATGTATCAAATTTGAAGATAATGAATTTAACTACGGTAGATAAGATATTTCGTCAAATAATTCAGCATGCAAATGATATTTAACAAAAATTATCATACCATGAGTTAAATGATAGATGCAAGTAAAAATTATTGACACCAAATGGACCTGCGGCCCCGATTTTAGAATGGACTGTCCCCAGCCGGTGAGCGCTAGTATACGTACTTGACGTTGATGCAAACGTTTCCACTCGTCAGTGTTGAACCCACGTGTCTAGTGTTCTGACGCGGGGCGCCGGCTACAACATCGCCGCCAACATTCCAACAAACCGCCCGGTATAAGTACTACGTGCGGGCTAGCAGTCAGGCAATACACAGGGCGTTCCTTCGTGCAATACTGACAGAGATTCGTCCCCTCCTCTCCGCATCGTCGCCATGAGAATTACCCAAGCCGTCCTCGCACTACCCAAGCTAGAAAAGATCAAGAAGTGGCGACCCTACAAGCCCGACAGTTTCATGAAGTATGCTCGGTTATCTATGCTGAAGGATCCTTCGGTAAGATATCTCTTCCTCCTTTCCTTTGCATCTTCGGAAAGTGTTAGCGTTGTCCTATGAACAGGTGCTGTATCCAGAACCGTGCCTGGGACAAGCATACGTTCTTGTCTACGCGGAGACTATTCAGAACCGTGCCTGATTCACTAACCCATATTCAGACATATAGAACTAGACAGGTACGGTTCTGGATACGATAACAGGTGTCTTTGGCGTATTGTGTGGAAAATGCTTTTGCACCTGCACGTATACAATGTTGTGTTACGCCACAAGGTGGTTATACCGGCTATACAGATGGTTCTACCGGCTATACAGATGGTTCTACCGGCTATACAGATACAGATACAGATAAGCGTCATTTTGCGGCACGAACATACGTTACGCACGCTGGTTATATTATATTACGGGGCGGGGCGAACAAAAAAATTCTAGTCAGCTTTCGGCAAAAACATTCTCTTCTTTTTTAAATTACCTAAATTCAAGGTTTCTGTTATCTTTAAGTCCTGAACCGGAAGCAATTATACTTAATCCGTCTATAATTTACATATATTTGGAATATCGATATTAATGTTGAAGGTTTGGCACGTATTCAGCGTGCGTAGCGTCAGGAGTTGCGCAACCGGGCATTGCCCTGAACGCTATCCGTAAATCTGCTCACTCGGCCGGGTAGACATCCAATAATGCCTCCTCAGCAGGCTCACTAGTATACTGCCCGGTAACATTCGTCATAGATATGTCGCAGAATTTTGATGCTGTACTAGAATATTCTACAACATACAATATACAACATACAAAATACAAAATGTATCATGAACGAAATATATAACAAAATGCAAATTCAAGCAGGCTATGACAGAATAGAACCATCCAACATCAAGGATTTTTAAAAGACAGTATTTTTGGCAAGAAGACAGCATAAAACATGCACGATTTTTCCGAGAATGACCTGAGGTTACGATCGTAAGACGATCGTAGGACGATCGCAGGACGGTCGTACAACCTCACGACGACTCCTTACGATATTGGCTTTTTCACATTGTATTACGAATTAAGCACCATATGCATTTGTATGTAGAAGGTCCACATTTTGAGCTAAATTTCCTTTTTTATGACCGTTTCTTCCGAATTGTGTTATCTCACAGACAGACAGAGTTTTACGAGGAAGGCGAAATTTTCTGCTTAATTAGATGCCTTTACAACCATCAGCTTAAGAATACCTTATTCCTAAAACAGGAATTTTACGAGGAATATGTAATTTTCAGCTAACGTTCTCCCTTTTACGGGCATCCCTTTGGAAATTGGTACTTAACAGCCGTCTGGTGCCGGTATTTTTACGGGACGTATAATATGTATAATATAGCGTTTGTATGAAAATTGCATGGAACGTTTTTTACGTGGGTGGATAGAACCCACGGCAGTCACGTACGCACACGTCTCGCACCATATAAGGACATGTGTGACGTCACCGCGCACTTGACATTGATCGAGTGACGTCATGTGCGTCAAGATGGCGGACAGACAGAATAAAACATGGATTTTGGATGATTCCATTGCAATTGTAGGGGGGGTGGAACGTAACCACTTATATGTTTTCTAACAACGACATTTCTCAATGTACGACTAAGATATTACATTGCTTGTGTTAGGAGTCCATATTGTGACGCAACAACGCAAACAAACATGACAAAATTATAAATTCACAAGAAGATGAAACGACTTGTTATATCTTCCATAACTTAGTACATGTAAATGTAAAAAATGACATGAAAATTCACTTTGAAAATCCGGTTTTGCTGCCCCGAAATCGCTTTGGGTGTCTTTAAATAAGGCATGACAAAGGGTTTGGGCATATATAACGCTCCTTTCGCCAGCCATTGCCGGCGAGTGCCTGTATGTAGAGCCCGGCTTGCGTTACAGATTACGCCGGTAACCTTAACGTTATACCGGCCTATCATTGCATGTTCGCACACCGATACAGCTCACTAGCTTAGCGTACGTGTCCAGAATGTGCAATCTCCAAGCACAGGCACATTCGGCGTGGGTCGTTGTAAGATTTCCTGTATCTGTATAGCTGGTATAACTGCCCTTCGGCGTAACACACCAGCTTCTGTATCTGTATAGCTAGTGGTATAACCGCCCTTCGGCGTAACACACCAGCTTCGCAGGCACGCGGCGCGGCGGCAGCTGGCTACACCGAACAACTTGTTACACCTAACCCTTGAAAAAAGATCAATAAATGAAGAAAAATACGATTCCTGGTGAAGATTTGAACGACAATAGAACACGTACACAAACAGTTTCAAACTAACAAAATACAATGAAATCAGCTTCAATCAAGGACGTTAGATCTTGTTGAAGCTCATTACTAACGAGAGTTATGATTGGCTAACAGTCGTCACATCAGCAGCGCCATATTGTACTAACACCTGCTACATTCGATCCGTCGGATCTCCATAGACCCACTGACTTTGACTTGCCCTTGGCAGTTGTTGAAAAACAGAAATCCCCCCAAAGTCTTTAAAAATACCTGTACTTAACATGTCTGGCGTAACGTGCCAAGGACGAGGGGGCAAACCGTTTCATCGTTCATGTAAGGGTGACGAAGTAAAATAGTCTCTACCAGGCTTCAGGTACGAGTCAGAAATCTCCAAGCAGATCTTTCAGTGTCTAAAAAGACAGTATCACAGGCAGTATCCATTTGTCACCCAAGGCTGGCGTAAAAAAAGGGTACCAGTACATAGCTAGTTGAAATCACGCGCATATATAGCTGTAATATTTGTAACTTTCATTATTTTGTGCTTGTAGCTGTAGTACTAGTGTTTTTAAATCGGTACAGGTACAAGTGCATATACATGCACAGCTACTTTTAACAACTTTTACAGCCATATCCCCAAAATACACGGACCAATCACAAAGACAGACACTAAAAAAAGATGTCTAAATCACTTAGACACAACAGGTCTTTAGACTGCCCTAGATATCACAGATGAAGTTTCTTGACATTATTGTAGAATGAAGCTTAAATCTCCATGTACAATAAAGGTTTGTTTAGTTCATACCCTGTATAAAATCGTTTGTTTCTTTGCGTGTAGCTGTTGTTTTTTAACTCTATGTTTTGTAGCGTGTAGCTGTAGTGTTTTAAACTCTGTGTTTCTTTGCGTGTAGCTGTGGTGTTTTTAAAAGTGTTTCTTTGCGTGTAGCTGTAGTGTTTTAAACTCTTTGTTTCTTTGCGTGTAGCTGTAGTGTTTTTAACTCTTTGTTTCTTTGCGTGTATAGCTGTAGTGATTTATACTCTTTGTTTCTTTGCGTGTAGCTGTGATGTTTTATACTCTTTGTTTCTTTGCCTGTTGCCGCGACGTTTATAACTCTTGTTTGGTTGTTCTTACCGTTGCTAGGTGTGGCCCCTGGTGACCATTGTATCGGGAGTAGGGTGTTTGGCGCTGGCTGCTTTGGGTTGGACGGCGTTCAGCAAGGCTGATGTAGTGTAAGTATGAACGTGTCTTATCCTCCTAAGGGATAGTTAATTAGTTATTTAGTTATCTAGTAGGTTAATATGTTAAGCTTGGCGGCTTACATCAAGTCAGATGCAGCCTAGTTCATTCCTCTTGATATCAAATGGTAGGTATGTAGCTCACAAGCTAATTTGTAGTAAGTAAGCTACTCATTAACTTAGTAATACTTACTTGGTTAGTAACCTAGCTTAATACTTAGTTGTTAGCTACTTTGCTTATTACTTATTTAGGTAGAAAGGTTTGGAGTTAGCCGAATAGATAATGATACGGTCATAATGCCTGGCACTTACGTATACTCTGTGATTTCTTTCTTTTTTTGACAGTTTTGACAAAAGTCACGAACCATCATGGAATGAGGTACCCATGGACAGACCAACACAGAAGGTATGGAGAATTCGCTTTCATCGATATTACAAAAGAATCACATTATTTGCAACAGAATATTTGTATGATATGATATATAATATGATATGATATGATATGATATGATGCGTCACTGTACAACTATTCTCTTTAACAGCTTGTCACAATAAACCAGACGTACAAGGACATCCCAGAGGTTCACGTTATGGAAGAAATCGAGAAGGAAGAGAAGCACTAGCTATCCCCTAGCCCTGCAAGGTTATAAAGAATCGCAAGGTGGCGTGCGTGAGTGGCTGAGCCGTGCCATGCCCCGTGATTAGTATGTCGCAGTATGTTTTCCCCAGAGAGTAACTATATGCTGCAAAGACCTAGAATATTCGATTATAGTTCTTGGGTACGAGTTAGCTATAGCCAATTATTCCGTCTATAGAATATTTTGAGGCCTGTCCACGTAAAGCTATTTTTACTAGATCACTCGATCGACAAACTTAAAAAAAGTGAGTGACAGAGAGGCATAAATAGATGGACCAAGGATGAAATAGAGAAATGAAACATTTCATATATAGTCATTTGACAGCCTGTTATAAAGAATGGTTTTACTGTATTGAAGGAAGAAGCAGGGTTTTGATACATAAATGTTGTCGAGTTAGCGTTGAACAAAATTGAGCTGAAGAGGGTTAAGCGTACAAAGAATATGTAATAGGCTTGGATCGGGAAAGGCTAAGGATAAGCAAAAAGGCTAAGAAATCTGAAGAAAATAATTGTGTGACTTTTTTCTTCTTGATTTCAAAGAAACATGTCGGAATTTCTTGTACCGTTTTGGACTTTGGAGACTTTTTATCTGCAAATCGTGACTTAATTAAGATTGTATGCTTATATTTAAGAAGGTATACCGCTCCGATAGTATTTCTACTTTTATGCAGTGTCGCACTCTCAATCTATTATATATTGTTATTTTTTATATGTGAATGTATCGCGAGTTATCAAGAAAAAAGTCTTTGTTGTCTGTGAAATACCGATATTTTCAAGGGATATTCTTGTTATCAAGTGTTGCAGAGCAATCTTGTCTGTTTGAATTTGGTAATAAATTCATCGCTTGAACAGAGTATACTACTAGTACTTATTTTCATTCCATATCGGCACACGGTATTTTTAGAAATATCTAGGGCAGAATTGCACTATATGAATATTTACAACTGATGGCCAATAAATTTGTGTTTTGCAATCGGCGCCAATAAAATCTGGGCCACTACTAGTATACTAAAAGAGAAACGAAGTTCAATAATTAATATTATTTTTAAACTTTTATTTTATTCTGACCATTCAAGGATATCGGTGCAGTCTAGAAAATTTACATAGATATGTACGATAAAGAAAGTATCCGTGGGACGTCCCTAACCGAAGCTAGGTACTCATTTCCACCTGAGACAAATGCCCTACCATTACAAGGCTACACGGCGCCTTTTATATTAAAAATTCCCCCCCCCCCCCTNACGTGCACACACACACACACACACACACACACACACACGTGCACAAACCGTACACAACAATCGCGAGGTCATTCTGAATAATGCATTTTAACAACCCAAATACATAAAACAGCCAGACGGAAAATTGGTTCTTTCTCTGAGGCCGGCGAAATCTTGACCAGCACGAGAAACCCGAGGTTGTCAGACGACTGTAGGTGAGGACATTTTCCCGCCAAACTGAGGAAATTTTCCCGCTTTAATAACATCCCGCTCGCCGGGTTGTCAGACGACAGTTGATGAGGAAATTTTCCCGCCAAACTTGGGAAATTTTCCCGCCAAACTGAGGAAATCTTCCCGCTAAACTTCCCGCTCGCCAGGTTGTCAGACGACAGTTGGTGAGGAAATTTTCCCGCCAAACTTGAGGAGATGTCGGACGGCGAACCCCAGGCTACCCCGGACGACTCTCGGCGTCCCACCGGAAATTATGAACAGGCCTGTGACGTTCGTATGACCTTCACGACTGAGCATGGTAAGTTATTGTTTTTTCATAACATTTACCAGTACATGTGTATTCCGTTCTGTTTATGTAAAGGAGCAACCATTGCCATCCCGTCAAAATTTGGAGACAAAAATAAAACTACGATCCTCTTACAGAGAAAGTGGGATCTTTCGTCTTCCACTGCCTCAAAAAAAAAAAAGAAATCAAACCTAACAAGTTACAATTTAGAGCCAGATTTTACACTAGAGTAGTCACATTATTTATGTAACAATCTATGGTCACCATGGCAACTAGTGTTGGGTTACATCATTTTGCAATTTTATAAAAGGTATTTAGACTCCTGTCTAACCATATACCGTTATATGTATGTGTAAGAATTAACAGAGCACACCACATGCGAAGGTAAACATTATGCATTTGCTTTCAAATGTTACCTTTCTAGTATATATAGTCGTCTTTTATCAAAAGGACCCAGTTACATAATCAGGCCAGCACACGGCACGAAAACGTACTGTAACCTTCTTGGCAAAGTAATTAGTCTGCAGGGCGGAATAGCCTGGTGTCCAGTCCATCGTGATTAGGGCGGGTTTTCATCGGGGCTGCATGAGCTCTTCCCCGTCCGAGTCAGCCAAGTTCCCCGGTACTTTTGCACGACGAGAGTTAAATTAACCCCGAAACAATCAACTCCTGGCATGCAAAACTATTACAGGCGTACTCGTAACACTCCTACCGGGCGGTCTGTTGAGCTTGACGGGGGAAAACTATTAAAGCCCCGAAGACAGCCTGTCCCAACCACGATAGACCGGATACCAGGCTACCGAATGCTATGCCGGTAGCCAACACAACCGTCTCGTTTGATTGCCTCCAGCTAACGGTCATACCAGTGAGTCCACTGATACCGACGAGGCAGCGGGCATCACCAGCGGCCCGCCGAGCGCCCAGCCCCGCCGGGCCAGCTGGGTCCTCCCGGCGATCGGGCTGTGCGCTCTCGTCGTCGGGATCATGCTCACAGCGGCCGCGCTGGTTCATTTTCCCCGGGACAACACTGGGGCTGAACTTAAGTCCATAAGCAACCAAGTAAGAGACCTTTGATGTTGTTTAACTTTAAAATAACAAGGAATGCAATTGAAGAGTTCAAAAGAAAATGTCCTGAATATACTAGTAGATACTACATAGAAAGATAGAGAGATAGATAGAGGGGGAGGATAGATAGAGATATAGATAGGTCTATGCCTGAGAGAAATTGCGTTTTCTTGTACATACAGTTGGAGACACATGGCAAGAGTCTACAAGACGTTCTACTCGCCCTGAAGACATGGATGCTGGAAGGTCCAAAGCCAGACCAGACTATGGTAAGCCAAGTTCATGTCTTAAAAGGGTGCTCTATTATCAAGTTAGTCATGGCCAAGAATTGACATTGAACTATCAGTTTATCTGTTACAAACTCATTCGAAGGATGGCTATAAGACTTGTATTTTGCTTGCATGTTTAGTTTTTAAAAAATTAGCTCATTCTTTGTCACTGAATGTAAAGAGGTCTACTTGCTTTCACTTTGTTTCTGTACTTTCTGTCCTTTATTTGTATTTTTGCATATTGTTTTCACGATTTTTAGACATTTTCTTGTATAATTATCGGCCTCCCAAACTGCTATTCTGAGATAAGAGAACTTGTAGTTAATTTCTTGTTTGAGGCAATGTGGAGTCGATGTGTTGTTGATTTTTATTGCAGATTGTTACAACAGTGTCAATGGCGACGAACACAAGTGACACCTCTGTGTATGACGTCACCCCGTACATCCATGACGTCATCACTGACATGCGCAGCAGCGTTACAGACCAAACGTCTCCGGTGTTGACTGTCGCCATCAGCACCAAACCCAGTAACACCAACGACCAATCGCTGACTGCTGAAGCACCACTTGCCAGTACCAAAGGTTAGAAGCGCTATTATCACTTCCGGGTATGGAAGTATTGTTTTGGGTGGCTTCCTTGTGTGTTTGTTTCTCTGTATGTCCTTTCTAATTGCACGCCATAGCATTATAATGTCCTCAGCTGTGGTCCCCTGTTTTAGAAGCGTGTGGGTCATTAGCAGCTTTTCAGTGCTTGTCTGACTTTTTGTAGTCTGTAGCTACTAGTAGGCTATTTTATGCTCAACGTGTTGTCACTAAGTGTATAACACACGTACACACACAAACAAACACACAAACACACACACACACACACACACACAGACAAACATACCTGGAACAATATGGCGTGCCCCTGTTTCTTCTCTGAATCTCTCAATGTTGAAGCAATAAGTGAGACATCTTCCTTAGTAGATCCTAAGAATGTCCCCAAGTTGCCACCGTAAACCTGCAGTGTGCTGTGTGTGACATGATAGCAGTCCAGACTTGATTGATCTTCGTCATCATCAACATGGCATCGTCATGAAATGTAGAAGCCCCAGCGCGTTCTTGACTCGCAACTTCATCTTTTACAGTGAGTGATGAGACTCTTTTTACACAACCAAGTCTTGTATTCAGCCGACGTTTAGGTGACCGTCTGTCACTTTCCTCAGGGCAATTCTGACTGGTTCACATTGCACTGCAGCACAGGTGTCGCTGCTACAATGCATTCCCAAATGTACAATATTTACACATCTACACATATACGTGATTGGATTACAGGGAAATGTATCTACAGTGCGTTCCCAAACGAGTGGAAGTTGCATATGTACATAATGGCGGTCAGTTATTAAAAAGCACGAACCATACAGAAAACTAGTTACAGAAAACTAGGAACAGAATCCACAAGGTGGTTCCAAACGTACAGGATTGTTATAATTACATGGTGGTCATTTACACAAAAAAGTCCATTTCTTAAGGTGGCCTATGGGGATTCCTATAGTTAAGCACCCCGAGGTGACTCACTTCGACGCGGTAAAAATTATAATAGGGTGCACTAGAGGATCACGGCCAACTAATATGTTGAAATATACAGTATATTCTACAAATTAACTGAAAACTAAAAAAAGTTCTCGTTTTTTTAACAATGACGACCACTTTGATTTGGCCTTCTAACGGGGTCAACGGAACTGCAGCCGGCTCACCCTGGAACGTGGTTGCGTAATGCCGCGCATTTATACACGAACAGGGAAATCTTCACAATCCAACTCGTACGGTGTACAAGCCGATACCTTTCTATACCACACAGCGCAGTTCATTCATGGCTACCTCTCACATAAGTCGCTTTAGCCAGGATCCAAGAGGTTTGTCTGCACTACTTTCTATACCCGCGTCATAGATATAGACCCCCGGGGGTCGCCCATAAATACTGTGTTCTGCGGCCTTAAGGATGCGATGACTGAATCTGTACCCCCCCCCCCCCTCATCTCGGTTCATCTTTTACAGTCAAGAGAAAGGGTCGAGTTGGGGAATACGAAGTGCTGAAGATGGCCTGCCCCGGCGTGGAACGTATCCGCGTGGAGGCCGCCATGTACGGCGTCCGCCCCGACTGCCGCAGCGGCAACAGCCTCCGCCGGGTCCGCAACATCTGCCAGGGGCGGTCCGCCTGCTCGGTCCCCGCCTCCAACGCCGTGTTCGGGGACCCGTGTGTTCGAACGCACAAGTACCTGGAAGTCGAGTACACCTGCACCGGTACGTACCCACAATCTATTCGATACCTTAAAGCTTTAAGGTTTATAAGTTATTAGCTATTGCTTATTGTTCAAAGGGCCTAAGGACGCCATATTATACAAGCAGCTTTTGTACTGAAAGTTGTCTTGTTATGTTTACCGTAAGGAAAACATATTGTTTTTACTCAGTTTCTTCCTCCTCTTCTGTTCCAAACACTAACCTCTGACCCGGCCAATGACGTGATTTGTTGACGGTCCCCATGGTGACTAGTGTTGGGTTACATAATGTTGCAATTTCATGGTCTGCTCCTGTCACCATATACTGTAGTACATGTAACGTTATGTAACGTTTGAGTAAAAATTAACAGGGCAGATCATGTCCGAAGGTAAACATTATGCATTTGCTTTGCAAATGTTGCTTCTCTAGTTCCAACTTATTTCCATAAAGAGCTATTCTTCCTCTGTACAAAAAAGTTATACATGCAGAATTTACAAGTTCATTTTACCAGGGAAGTACTCCTAGCTCTTTTCAAAAAGTACATGCATGTACAATCATGGAGTTAAATGTTACAACGAACAGTGGACCACATCCTAAGGACCCGTTTTAACGACTGCAACCATTAACAGTAGCATATAGGTCGAGTGAGCTTCGAACTCCCGACTTCAGAGGCGAGGCAGGGTCGCTAACCATAGCCTCTACCAGGTTTTGGGAGGCGGCTGGAAAGAGTAGAAATCGGCCAAATAGAAAAAACATGCCAGGGGAGTTGGTCCGCAAGAGAGTACAGTTTGCAACTCCCCTGGCATGTTCTTTCTATTTGGCCGATTTCTACTCTTACCAGGAGCCTCCCGAAGCCTGGTAGAGGCTTGATAACCAAGGTGAATCGTTGTGCATTTTCCGTTTCAGAGCCCGGTGTGACCTGCCCTGCCTGGACCCGCTGGTTGGATCGTGACGACCCCATTAGCTTCTACGACTGGGAGTCGTTCACGTCTCTTCGCCGGGTGTACCCCCGAGAGATCTGTGCCGAACCCTCGGACATCCAGGCCCGCGTCAGGGGCTCCCACGTGCCGGCCGAACAGACCGGGGAGCAGTTCTTCTTCTACAGCCCGCAGCTGGGTCTGGCCTGCAGAACCAGGGACCAGACGGACCGGCGCACCTGCCAGGACTACGAAGTGCGCTTCTGCTGCCCGTGAGCAAAACAAGAAATCGTCCATTCACTAGCCTAGTAGTTCGCAGACTTGTGGGGCGGCGGCGTTTATTTTTTTCGGGGAGCGACGCGAGTTATGCCGCCGAGGGACGATTTTGCCTCCGACGGACTTTGCCGCGTAGAGAGAGTTTCCTCGCTCAAGGTTGTTAGGGGGCGAAACCCTTTCTCCCCGGCAAAGTCCTTCGGCGGCAAAACTCGCGTCACTCCCGGAAGAATTCACGAGTTGCACATTCCCAGGATCCTTTGCGCCCAGGGTAGGTCACGTGGGCGTCAGGGTAGGGAAAGGTCTCGGTAAACCACGTGACTCATCCTCGGCTCTGGTCGGAAGAAGGTGCCCTAAGCGATATCTGGCCGATAGTAGGCTGGGAGCATTCACATTTTCACGTAGTGTGTTGAATCAACCCTATCCTATCCCATACCGATAGTCATGGAGCAAAAATTCGATGCCGCTTTGCCGTACGAACGCCGTGAAAAACTACGTGCCTCCCGCCGCCGGCAGTGGTGTCAGCCATTTTTGAAATTTCCGAGCGCTCGCGAACACTTCCGACTTCTTCCGACCAGAGCCGAGGATGAGTCACGTGGTTTACCGCGACCTTTCCCTACCCTGACGCCCACGTGACCTACCCTGGGCGCAAAGGATC